CCAATGTTGTGGCCGATGCTCTTAGCCGCAAGGCAGCCCCGATCATAGAAATTTGCTTGCGGATGACAGTAGTGACTCCACTGTTGGAGCAGATCCGAGAGGCCCAGCAGGAGGCTATGAAGGAGGAACATCGGAAGAGCGAGCGTATTGTGGGTCAGGTTTCCTCCTTCGACTATGATAGTCGTGGGTTGTTGACACTACACCGTAGAGTGTGGGTTCCATATCATGGAGGGGTGCGCCAAGTTTTGATGGAGGAGGCGCACAAATCCAGATTCTCGATTCATCCCGGGGCGACGAAGATGTACAGAGATCTCCGTCCTGATTACTGGTGGCCCTGCATGAAGCGGGATGTAGCCTGGTACGTTGAGAGATGCCTGACCTGCAGGAAGGTCAAGGCAGAGCACCAGAGGCCTCACGGCAAGACACGGCCGTTGGATATACCTATGTGGAAATGGGAAGATATTACTATGGATTTCATCACGAAGCTTCCCAGGACCGCACGGGGAGTGGATTCGATTTGGGTCATCGTGGATCGATTGACCAAGAGCGCCCATTTCATTCTGATCCAGGAGAGCATTTCGGCCGAGAAGCTAGTCGGCATCTACATTAGAGAGGTAGTAGCACGACACGGAGTGCCAGTCTCCGTGATTTCTGACAGAGACGTGCGGTTGAATTCCAGATTCTGGAAGAAGTTCCACGACGAGTTGGGTACTCGTCTGCACTTCAGCATCGCTTTTCACCCGCATACGGATGGTCAGAGCGAGCGGACCATCCAGACCTTGGAGGATATGCTGCGGGAAAGCGTTTTAGACTTTGGTGGTAGCTGGGATACCTACCTTCCCTTGGCAGAGTTTTCCTACAATAATAGCTACCACGCGAGTATTGACCGTCCTCCCTTTGAGATGTTATACGGGAGGAAGTGCAAAACCCTGATATGTTGGGGTGAGGTTTGGGCAGAGGTTCATGGGGAGTAACGAAGTGGTACTCAAGATGACGGAGAGGATCCAACAGGTCCGGAGCAGGCTTCAGACTGCTCAGAGTCGGCAAAAAAGTTATGTCGACAAGCGTCGTTCGGACCTGGAATTCCAGGTCGTGGATATGGTTCTCCTGAAGGTCTCACCTTGGAAAGGTGTCATCCGGTTCAGGAAGCGGGGCAAGTTAGGCCCTAGGTATATCGGTCCTTTCAGGGTTGCAGCTCGGGTGGAAAAGGTGGCGTATAGGCTAGATCTGCCAGCCAAGCTTAGCCAGATTCACAGTACCTTTCACGTCTCCCAGTTGCGGAAGTGTCTGGTAGACGACTCTGGAGTGGTGCCTCTAGAGGATACTCAGGTGGATGACAGCTTGAACTACATAGAGCGACCAGTAGCTATCCTCGACAGGAAGTCGAAAGACCTGAGGAACAAGAGGGTTGAGATGGTGAAGGTGCAATGGCAGCACCGTAAGGGCTAAGAATGGACTTAGGAGCCGGAGGACGAGATGAGAGAACACTACCCCGAGCTTTTTCCAGATGCAGCAACAGACTTCGAGGACAAAGTCTAAAATAAGCGGGGGAGAGTTGTAACGCCCGGTTCCCGGTACGTATTTTTAATATAAGTTTTGCATTTTTACTTTGGGACTCGACGAGTTGGAAGCCCCAACTCGTCGAGTAGATGTGAAATTTGGTACGCGGGTGGAAGAATCTACTCGCCGAGTCGGAAGACCCGACTCGACGAGTAGACCTGTCTGGATGAAACCCTAAATTTGAGGGTTTACACCTTATTTAAACAACTTATAGGGTCTCCACTCCAACCTCCATCACCCTCAGACTCCCTTCATGAAACCCTGATCGAATATTGAGTGTTCTTGAGCCTTTTTTGTGCCATTTGTGTGTTTTTGAAGCTTGAAAAGAAGGAGGAGGCTTGGGAGATCAAGAGAAAGCAAGTAGATCCAGAGGTTTTGGCACATTTCCAGCTCAGTTGAGGTAGAAAGTTGATACCTTGACTATTCATTTCTTAGATCTCCATTTAGGGCTATTTTCTACCTTTTCTAAGTCTTAGTGAAGCCATATTCGGGATTGTGAGTATCAATGGGGTTGTACTTCAGATGTTGAACCTTTAAGGGTTCCCATGGCATAAATGTGCCAACTTTATGGCCATGGGAGTCCGATGCACCATGTAGACTTCATTTTGCATCCTTATGAGCTAGTTAACTCATGCATGCACGTAAAGTTTGTAACTTTACGTGCTATATCGATCCTAGGAGGTCAGATCTATGTTCTGGATGCATTAAGCCCGAATGAAATCGACTTGGTAGACTTGGACTTTGGGGGACTCAGCCAGTTGCTCATAGGACTCGGCGAGTCGGGTCATGGTTCCCCAACCTTTTCTGTTTCTGATCGATCTGGTTGAGTCTAGAAGAGGACTCAACAAGATGGACGTGAATATGGACTTGAAGATCAAAGAACTCGACGAGTTCAAGGATGAACTCGGCGAGTTCAAGGCAATGTCACAACTTGTATGAAGAAGAACTCGACGAGTTCAAGGAAGAACTCGACGAGTTCAAGGAAGAACTCGGCGAGTCAGGGGCTAAACACTTCAACTTGTAAGAAGAAGGACTCGACGAGTTCATGGACGAGCTCGGCGAGTCAAGAGCAAAAAGGTCCCGATTCTGTATGAAGGAGAACTCGACGAGTTCTTGAAAGACTCGACGAGTAGGATCGAAGTTCCAGTATTTTGTGGATTATGGAACTCGACGAGTTGGTGGACCAACTCGACGAGTTGAGTCAACCAGGTGTTGACTTTGACCAAAAGTTGACTTTGACCAGGGTGTTGACCTTGACTTTGACCTGAGTTGACCCTTGAAAGGGTTACGAGTATGAAATAGTAATTAAGGAAGGTTGTTATGTGTAGGAGTTTGAGGAGAGTTGATCCCAGCACCGAGGACAGTTCAGTTACTGCACGACATCGAGGTGAGTTATCTTCTAGTAGAAGTGGGTCTACGACCACAATGTCGGCTCACTAGTAGGAGTTGCTTGTCAGATAATTGTATTTGTGATAATTACCTGGGTTTGCCACTGTCTGATATGTTTAATGTGCTAGTATGATATGATGTTAGGTGATAGTGGTAGTAGGGGGAATAGTCCCCATGTTTCGGTTGTAAGGACCAAAGGGGTAGGTCGGGCACCCCGATATGCCTGACAGTATGATTATGTTATATTATTATGTGGTAGTAGTATGGGTGAAATAGTCCCTTAACCGGTTGAGATAACCGGAGGGGTAGGTCGAACACCCTGGTATGTCTGACAGGGGTAGGTTAGGCACCCCGGTATGCCTAGCAGGGTAGGTCGGGCACCCAAATATGTCTGGCAGTATGTTTATAGTATGGTATGTGGTATGATGGGGGAACTCACTAAGTTTTGTGCTTACAGTTTCAGTTTTGTTTTCAGGTACCTCTTCTTCGAAGGGGAAGGAGTCAGCACGGTAACAACGCATCACATACACACACACAGGATTTCCGCATTATGAGATTCATGGGATAACACTCTGACATTGTTACTATTTTATGATATGGTTTGAGACATGTGACTATGGTTTTATGAAATGATATGATTCGATGATGTTTTTCAGTAAACAAAACTATAAGTTAATTAAAAACAAAATTTTTGGTCATGATTTTTGGGATGTTACACTAGAAGTTGATTACCGCACCACGAAGAAGGAGTCTCTGCATCACGGAGAGTCGATTCCAGATTCAAATTGTTCTAATTCATGGTGTGCTTTTCGTTAGGCGATTCCAGTTTGTTGTTTGTATCTTGGGTGCAATCACAAGAGAGGGATTCTGCATTGGATCCTCCAAGTCTGATCAATTGGCGAAATCAAAGAAACCAAAGAACTCAAGTGTATGTATTATATCTCTCAATTTTTTGTTTTGTGTACTAGTTGCCTAGATCTGGTGAACAAATGTCCTTTAATGGTTATGTTACTTCCGTTATCCATTTCGTTGTCTAAGGACTCTCATAACCCAACAATATGCACCATTGCTCACCTATACGACACCTTATTTCCTTTTGCCACAAGTACATGTTGACAAATATAAGGGTTGAAGACATCATTTTGGATATAAGGATTGAAGATGTCATTTTGGATCATCTCAACCCGCTTTTACTTTCTCTGGATTGAATGCCTCAACGAAACCTTAACTCAACACAATTCTTCAATTCACCTTATTTTTTCTATCTAATTTATTCTACAAATCTTATTTGGATATGAAGTAGTGATTGATTTGGCAACATCGATGCCAACTACAACTTCTTTGCTCGCTCTTGGGTTTAGGTTTCATCTAACTATTTCCCTCTTCTCTTGCTCTTTTACCCTTCTGTCACACCTACTTTACTCTCTCACTCTAGCCATCAATCTCCATAGAAACCTTAGCTGTCAACTCCGCTCTTTTTCACCAACACCAAATACATTTTGTATAAAATTCTCAATCGTTGGTCATAACAACCATCGCTACCAACCTTCCCCACCACCACTGCCACTAACCATATGTCTTTGTTTACACGCATATACACACCACCGAACTACCTTCATGACCACTTTTATAGACATACACACCACCACATCCTTTCTCTTCGTCTAGGCACTAACACACGCCATCATATCATGGGAAGTTGCGACCTCCATATCATGGGAAAGAGGAGAAACAAAGATGAATGCGACGTGCAGCCAGAGAGAAGGTCGTGGGTGCCTGTGGAGTTGGAAGAGAAAACTGACGAGAAACCGTAAATAGGCAATTAAAATGGACAAGATTGAAAGTTGAGATAATCTAAGATTAAGGAAGTAGTTATCCACTAATCTCTATTAGTATTATATTCATTGTAAGACCGAAGTGGTCTAGACAGATAAAAGAACCACACAACCGAGTGTGTAAAAGACAAAAGAAGAAAACAGACCAGAAGTCCAGAACTCCTAAACCGGTGAGAGAGTGGTATTGTTACTTCTATTATATTCGTGGTAAGTGGTAAACAATCAAAAGCCCAATCATGGCCCATGTAAAATCAACCCTTTCCAGTTCCTCTATCTCACGAGTCACGACTCTCCCACACAGCAAGCGACAGACACAGATCCACCTTTGAGCTTTGGCGCCTCCTGTCGCATAGTAAGCTTCACTTGCTCTCTTTCATGCACAAAGAAATGCAATTCTAGCCTCTCTTTGTTGAAATTCAGGTTTTCTGGTAATTATGTTTGAATATGAACAATTTGAGCCGGAATTTTGTTCCAGTTGTAATGTATATACTTAATCACAGATTCTTCCTATACGAGCTTGGTTTTCTGCTACATAGTGCCACGATATACAGATTTTGTTGAATAATTTATAAAAGGAACGTAAAAATTATGTTGTACTAGATGATTGTAGAAATTCGACTTTACCTTGTTGAATTTCGGGGTTGAAAGCTTTAGTTAGGTTACATTATCGTAATCCTCTTAGACTGTATATAGCAAGTTCCATATCCAAGTGCTCTAGCTAGCTAAAGCATGTGAAATTAGTAATGTGATCCAAACCACATTTTACCAAATTATACTTTTCAACTCTTAGTTTTCAAATATATGCCAGAATGCTTGAATGACCTATTTGAATGTAATGAATTTTGAACAGATTACGATATTATCTCACACTAATTTCCAACTTCTGTTCTCTTTTCCTTGATAGATTTCTATTTCATACACTAAAAATGATGGCGATTGGTGCTTCTGCCCTACAAATAACTTTCACGAGACCCTCTGTTCTTCTTACTCAAAGAAATCTTGGGGTTACCATGGCAAGTTTTGTGCAAGAATCCGATAGAGCTTTATCATCTAAGCTTACAAGCTCTTCTCATCTATCATCCATGTTAAATTCTAATAAAAGTTTCACAATTAATCATCCAAGGTTTCGTAAGTTTGTTACAAGATCAATGTCTGAAGCTTCTGAAACCAAATCCACATCCCAGCTTTCGATTGATTTGAAAGGTTTGAATTTGATCCTCATATTTATCCGTTTTCTTGATACAAACTTCACAAACAGGGGTGTTGTTGTCTTTATATAGATTTGATACAATATATTACTAAGTAAATACTCTTACTTAAAGGTAAAAGGGCATTCATTGCTGGTGTTGCTGATGACAATGGATATGGTTGGGCTATTGCAAAATCTTTAGCTGCTGCAGGTGCTGAAATTCTTGTTGGAACATGGGTGCCTGTAAGTAAAGTAGAATCACTTTTAGCCAAATCTTGACATTATTGCCCCTATTAATCTCACTTTTCTTCATTCACCTTTTAAAATAGGCTTTAAACATATTTGAAATGAGTCTAAGACGAGGGAAATTCGATGCATCACGTGTGTAAGTCTTTAACACATTTTTTTTCTATCTTTCTATAATTTTAATATTTCATTTTCACTTATGTTAACAAAAAATATCATCTTTTAGTTTGCCAGATGGCACTTTGATGGAGATTACTAAAGTTTATCCATTAGATGCTGTGTTTGATAACCCAGAAGATGTACCTGAAGATGTAATGATACATATAATTGTGATAATAAATAAAGTATTAATTATTTAAACAGTTTATAGACGTATAAATAAATGACTTTATTCATGCAGATTAAAGCAAATAAACGTTATGCAGGTGCAAGTAATTGGACTGTACAGGTGTATACTCACACTATTGTCATTTTTTTATGCATTTCATTTTGTTTTATTCAATTATTGATTTTTTATTTTTTTGAGAAATTCAGGAAGTTGCAGAATTAGTAAAGAAAGATTTTGGTAGTATTGATATTTTGGTGCATTCACTTGCTAATGGACCAGAGGTTTGTTATTCATGAACATGAATATATTAAATATAGTAATATACATATACATAATTAATATACACCATTTTTTTGTTATTAAAAAAATGATTAAATTTTTTATTAGGTTACTAAGCCTCTATTGGAGACATCAAGAAAAGGTTATCTAGCAGCAGTATCTGCATCAAGCTATTCATATGTTTCTTTACTCAAGCATTTCCTTCCAATCATGAACCCTGGTATGCCATGTCATCATTTTTTTTTATTAGTATATGTATTTAAATTATATATATTATAAGTTAACAATGTGAATTTTCATAGGTGGTTCTTCAATTTCTCTTACATACATTGCTTCTGAGAGGATCATTCCAGGGTACATTTTTTTATTCTTTTTTTTTTTTAAATTTTGTTTCATTCTTTTACATATTTATTGTATACATTAATAGATATGGTGGAGGGATGAGTTCAGCAAAAGCTGCACTTGAGAGTGACACAAAAGTGAGCTTTCTTCTCATCTTTAAATAATTAAATCTTCTACACTACCAAAAAAAACATTGTTATTAAATTATTAATCTCATGTCAATTTTATATATTTGTTTTATTTAGGTTCTTGCTTTTGAAGCCGGAAGAAAACATAAAATTAGAGTCAACACTATCTCCGCAGGTGATTTTATCACTTGTTCCATGAGGGCATTTATGTCTTTTGCACACATGAGTGATTTTTTGTCTGTAACAAAAAATTTCAATTTTTGTCCCATCGACATTAGTCTCACTCTCACTCCCAGTCAAACACAGTACTAGGCCGTCATGTTCTGCATTTGACTGGGACTGATGTTTATGAATTTTTGTCTCGTCAACATCAGTCTCGGTCCCCGTCAAATGAAAGTCAAACACAGTACTAGGCCGTTCTGTTATGCATTTGACTGGGACTGGGACTAAATGTCTGAGTTTTTGTCTCATCACATCAGTCTCAGTCCCAGTCAAGTCAAACACAGTACTAGACCATCTTGTCCTGTTCTCTTCTGTTTTGTTTTGTTTTGTTCTGTCTGTATCTAAAATGACATGTTTTAGGTCCACTTGGAAGTCGTGCTGCTAAAGCAATTGGTTTTATAGATACAATGATAAGCTACTCTTTTGCTAATGCTCCTCTACAAAAAGAGCTATATGCGGGTAAAAACTGATTGAAATTACTATTATACCCCTATTGTTGGGACGTGTTTCTGAATTTTGAGAAATGGAATGGACAGATGAGGTGGGGAACACGGCGGCTTTTCTTGCATCACCATTGGCTTCTGCCATCACGGGTGCTCTTATATATGTTGATAATGGGTTGAATGCAATGGGTGTGGGGGTTGATAGTCCATTGTTTAAAGATCTTAATATTCCAACAAGTGAGCATTAGTATTGGCAATGTATATGTGTTGAGAATAAAGTTTTGAAGATTCGGCTTGTAGATTTAATGACAGTTTAATTATTATGTAAAAGATGTGGAATATGAACAAAACATGTTTAAATTTTTTGATTTTTGGGATTTTTGTTGAAATTGATTTTTTTTTTTTAGGTTTTTTGAAAAGGGAAATGGAGATTGATCAAAGAGATGATAGCAAACAACAAAATGGTCCTTTTTATAAGCTTAACAGTCCAATGACCAAAATTGAAATGAACCTTTTAAAACAAAGACCCCAAAAAATAACAATAATAATAATATTGAGACCTAAACCAAGAAAAAAGCATTAGGAAATAAAACGAAAGCATCAACAAAAGTTTATACTTTGAATGTACAAGGGATAAGTTTTTAATATTAAATACCTTGCCCTCAGAAAATATATATATATATATATATATATATATATATATATATATATATATATATATATATATATATTATTTTGTTATCCAGTTGTCCTGAATAATAATAATTCGTATCAAAATTTAACTTTTTACTAGTTTACGATATACTTAAGTTTGATTTTGTATTATAAGTTGTGTTATATAGTTATAAGGTGATAAGTTGTTAAATTGCACAATTAAAATTCTGAAAAACGAATATGGACTCTAATGAAATCCAATTTCGATTTCGGCCGATTAACTTGTACATATATTATATAGCAATGAGAAAGCCCACTAGGGCCTACATTATACATTAATATTATCTTACTATTAGGTCTTCTACTCATCACCCAATCTATTTGCTCTTCTACCCAACGTCTCTCTCTCTCTTACACACACTCATATACCTGAAAACATACGAGGAACATGAAAACTGGAAATTATTATAAGATTAGTTTTGTATGATTGAAATTGGTGACAAATGAACATATCCCCAAATCTCTCCGCTGAAGAACAGAGGATCTTATTTCTTTCTGGGTTCATCTGTCTACAGGTACCTACCGTTTTCTTCAAACTTTATAACCAAATCCTTCAGTTTCTTTTTTTCTTTTTTACATTTTGGGTTTTTTTTTATTAATCCTGTGAAGGCTTAATAATCTTTAATTAGGGTCATAGATCGTTGCCAGGATCATGAAAGCTATTCCAATATCATATTGTTGTTAGGAATCTCGAATATTGTTGGGTAGCTTTCATAATTGTGAAAAGTTAATTGATTTATCGTTGGAAAATGGATTCAATCAATAGAGCTATTAGTTTGTTCCTTTGGATTTCGATATAGAATATTAAACTACAGCTCAGATTCATTCAGATCTATGAATAAGGAAAAGGTTATATGTTTTTTCATAAGTTTCTGAAATCGCATATAAATATAATCATCCATGACCCCAAAATCCTATTATTATTATTATTATTTTAATGTTATCTGTTACATCTTTGTTTCTGATCATAACAGGTTTCATTTATTGAAGCATATGGTGGGGGCAAATGAGTCAATACCACATACAAGATTGAAGATACACAACCATATCATATGGGATAAATTTGTAGTAAAACCATGATAAGAGAAATTACTGAGAAAGATTATTAAATACACAAGAATCAAGATACATTAGATTACAAGGAGGATTGAATTAAACAGCTAATCACAAAATGTATATGATATATATATATATTGTACAAAATACAATCAGATAGTGGAAGCATTAGTTAATTTAAGCCACATTTGTTTGAAGATCTTCTACAGCCAACAGCACCTTATTTCCTGAACCACCCTCACCTCCTTCATGTTTTCTAACTGATTGCTTTTGCACTTGTTCTGATTAATAATACACAATCACAAGTAAATTAGCATCGAGACCCAAGATTTGGATATATATGATTTTGTGTAATTTTATGGCATTTGGATTCATGAATATTGATTTTAAAGTTACAAAAGAAAAAGGATTATTAAAAAAAAAAAAAAAAAAAAACATATTTAACTATTTAGCCAACATGTGCTGATTATTTACATATACTGGTGATTGAATTATACAATAAAAACAATTAACAGCAAACTATTTAGTCATTTCATTTATTACCACTTTCACCATCTGAGGCGCCTTCAAGCTTTGCAATAGCATCCACAAGGGCTTCTTCATGCTCCTAAATTATTATATTAATTATTAAACCATCAACAAAATAGTCGATTAAAAGTTAAAATAGGAATAGCTTCTTACTTTAAGCACTTTTCTTGCCTTCTCAATATCCATTGGATCCGCATTGCTTGAACTAAACACTTTATCCATCTGTTGATCAAACGGAAATTTATTGCTACGATAAATAAAAAGGGCCAAATTGGGTCAATTAGTCAAAACACAAGTCAAAAGTCAAACTTACACCTTTGACTTCTTGGATAAAGAAAAGAAAAAGGACATGAGCATACCTCTTTAACAAGGGTATCTGTGTGAAGCAACTCGATATCATTCAAAGCCCTTTTTGGAACTCCTTTTGTTAATGGAGGTGGTTGAGGTTGTGATTCTTTCTTGGATTGACCCTTGGAGACCACTCTACCCCTTCCGGACCCACCGCCAGCTGTCTCGCCACGAGCCGCCACCGCCGGAGGATTTTTGTTCCCCCGCCCGGTCCCACTTCGCCTGCCGCCTCTATGAGATGCTCCAACATCCTCCCATTTCCAACGAATATCATTCGGAGATATCTATCCAAAAAATAAAAAGTAAAAAAGACTGATGTAAATCAGGTATACAGTGGCCCACTAACTATAACTAACCTCTCGTAGATTAACCCATTCCCAAGCTTCATTTGGTGTATTTGCATCGTATACCAAAGCATGACGCCCCTGTAAATATTTCAAAAGGGTTAAATGCAAGAAATCACAATCTACTTTCATTGATTTGAACAAAAAAAAACTACTTGATCATAGCAATGTGGTCCACATACAAAGCGATATTCAATAATATAATTTGGTGATTTTTCTATGATGTTGCAATTGGGTAGATTTTTCAAAGTGCAATTAACTAATAAGAAAAAAAATACAATGATGTAGTGGAAAGATATGGAATTAAGTGAGGGTTAATTACATAAAAGACTCTATATTATATATTGGGTTGTTTCCAGATTTATCATTTTTAATTTTTTTTCGATTTAGCCCTTTTAGAAAAAAAAAATGTGGATTAATCCCGAAAAAAGAAAAATATAAGGGTCAAAGTCAAACAAAAAAAAGGGTTAATCTCATAAAAGACCTTATATTTTGTGTTTTTTTTTGGATTAAACCTCAAGTTTATTTTTTTGCCTGAAAAAGACCTTGTATTTTTCATTTTTCCGAAAAAACCCTCAAATTTGTCTTTTTTTTCCGGAAAAAAAAACTTAACCTTCTAAATGCTTCCAAATAAACCTTCAACTTTTTTAGTTTTTCTCGAAAAAAACCCTCACATTTTACAATTTTTTTTTTGGAAAAAACTGACTAAAAGGGCTAGATCAGAAAAAATGAAAAAATACAAGGTCTTTTTCAGACGAAAAATAAACTTGAGGTTTAATCTGGAAAAAAAACACAAAATATAAGGTCTTTTATGAGATTAACACTAAAAAATGAGTTTTTTTAGAAAAAAAAATATATTTTTTGTGGTTTAATCCAAAAAAAAAACCAAATATATAGGGTCTTTATGTAATTAGGCCATTAAATAAGTTAAACTAGGTTGATATTTGTTGCATTTAGGCCTATTTTAAATTCAAACTCTCATCATCAATCAACATACATATTGAATATTGATTGATATAATATTATTTATTTATTATACCTCAACAGGGTTAAAGTCTGTTATAACAGCCTCATAAAAGTTACTATCTTCAGGCCATCTTGTCCAAACCTTCCTTCCAATCACAGGATCTGAGCTCTTGTCTTCATCAACACCATTTCCATTATAACCACCACCCTTCTTCCCCACTTGATCCCTGCTGTTGAAACTTGAAGAACCAAACTGCAAAACAATTCATCATTATGTTAACATTTTAAAAAAAAGATTTGTGAAACTTGATCTTACAGATTGTGGCTTCTTTCCCCTCAATCCTGAACCAGAACCACCGCGATTCATGGCTGATGAAGATGGCGGCATTGGGTGGTGAGGTGGTGGAGCTAAGGATGAAGAAGGTCCAGATTGGGATGTTTTTTGTTTCTTTTGTGATGATGATGTAGGTTGAAGTTGAACTCCATTAGTCTTCCTCCATTCCCTATGATTTCATTTGATGTAAAATCATATAATCATATGTGATTATTTGATGAAAAATGTGTACCTTATTCTCTTGATGATGTCATCGCCATTTACTCTTGATAGAAGTATTCTGTGTTCTTCATCTGATACTCTCAGCTCCTTCCTAAGATCTGTTATCAAAGTTTCCATCTCCTATAGAAGTAAAAAGAAAAAGGTTAAATTCAATCACTTAAATGGAATGGAATCACTGATTCCATTGATGAAGTGTGTGTTTTCAAGAAAATGATATAAAACAAGGGTTACCACTCACCCAAGTGATAGCATCAGATTGAGCTTTAAAGGCACGAAGAACTGAGGTGTATGCTTCTTGTTCTATAAGGTGGATTTGTGTCTCCATGTCATTTTGAATTCTAGGAGGGACGGGGCCCACAGCCATTGTTCTTCCGTTTCCAGAACTACCCCCGGGCCCACCACTTCGGAATTTGTTCTGATGTGGAGGAGGAAAGTCATCATCTGTTCCTAAAATATTATCAATAAAAAAATTTTGCTTTCAAAGAGAAAACTTAGGCATTATCATTTGTGAAGAGCAGTTTCCTTTGTGTTTCTAGACAATGAAGCAAAATCTGTAATCTGTGTGTGATCTATAACTGTTTGGATGTTTGTTTTTATCAGAATGTGTTTGCAGATCTTCTTATTTCTTGATATTCGTTTTCATGATAACTTTATTAGTAACAGATTACACAGAAAAATACTTTGAACCCTAAACCGCTGTTAAATCAAACCCTAAACCCTAAAAAATCAAAATCATGAATCTTGAACTCCACAAACTGTTCAAACTTTAAATCTGGAGAAAGAATCCTAAATTTCAACTCTTAACATGAACAAATCAAGAAATTAACAAACGGAAATCATAATAAATCCTTCGTT